TATTACGTCGGCATCCTGAGGTGATGAAACCTATATCATTCCTTTTTTTAATCATGACCCCGGTTTAACTTCAGCTTGTAAATTTTTCTTAAAATTTTAACAAGTGTTAAACATAACCTCGATTTAACTTCAACTTGTAAATTTTTCTTAAAATTTCAACAAGTGTTAAACATGATCTCAGTTTAACATCAACTTGTAAATTTTTTTTTAAATTTCAACAAGTGTTAAATATGACCTCAGTTTAACTTTAACTTGTAAATTTTTCTTAAAAATTTCAACAAGTGTTAAACATGACCTCAGTTTAACTTCAACTTGTAAATTTTCTTAAAAATTTCAACAAGTGTTAAACCGATCTTGGCTTGAAAATTCCAACTCCCAAGCATCATTCTCCAGCCCTCTGCATGACTTCCACCTACTCATTTGTGGACCTTATATAAAAAGTCTTTAACTTAGGCTGAGTTTTTCTCTTCTCGGATTTAATCATCTAGGCCGAGATCTTGTCTTCTGGAATCTGGGATCTGCTCACTTTAGGCTGAGCTCTTCTCTTCTCGGACCTAATCATCTAGGCCGAGATCGTGTCTTCTAGGATTCTCCATGCCCGACCTCCCGCGAAGGCTGGTGAGAATGTCCCTTGGTCCTGCCATGCTGAGGGACTGCAGGAACCGTTTCTGCCCCTCTTTCTGGGCACCTTTCTTGGCCGCTGGAATCGACGTATCTTGTAGTGGGAACGGTGGCTGCATGATGTTGTTTTACATCAGGAAATTAACGACCGTTTGCAGGTCCGCCAATTTGTTCGCCATTCCCTTCATCTCGTCATCCCTCCGCAGGCATCTATCTTTCCATACCTGGAGGTCGTCCTCGTTATAATACCCGCTCCGGTCCGATTTCTTCGGTACGCGCCCTTCTGGCCGACATTCTTCCCTCCGTGATTCTTATCATGAGTCTCTTCGTTGCAGTTGTCTTCTTCGACGTCAAGGTTAATATGTTTCCCACTCTCAGTAGGGGTGTCGTCCCCAACCTTCTCTTTCTCTCCGTCGTTGGCCATCTATTCTCCTTTCGTTCCCACAGACGGCGCCAAATTGTGTGTGTCAATTTCCGACCACACTGTCAATCAAACACTCAGCTGGAGAACACTAGCAGAATAGAGTAAACCCGAACGACCTGTCATAAAAATAAGAGATTCGGGCGGTGGTTTGTCCACCCGGGGGCACTCCGACGATCAAGTCAGTTATCTCTTAAAGATAGCAAAAGTACTTAACTCACTATTCAAAATACAAAAAACATACCTTAGACTCATGAGGGTGCCTCTCTTTTATAGCCAACACTTACCTAATCCCAATAGAAGCCTAGCTTCAATGGACTTGGGATTACTACTAATCTTGGATTTCTAGTAGAATTGGGATAAACTCTCTAAGAGTCTTATCTTTACCCAAACTGAAGTTCTATCTTCTTCTAGGACTCTCGTCCCTTATCCACTTACCTCAGATTCCGGTATCTTCGCAGATAATTTCGGCCTAGCTGAGATCATCTCGACGTCATGATCAGGACACGTGGCACCTCGGTTGACACTCTGGTGCTACCTCGACCACGTGTTGTCATTCAAAAATTATGTTCCCACAAATACAAAATAGTAAAACGTAAGATCGTGTACATGTAACATGCCTAAGTAACATGTGCATAACCTCTTCACAGAAATTTATTAAGAAAGATAATATTACTCGAATGAAATATGAGATCTGGGCATGACCTTGACAATAAAAGGAGTCATTAATACTAATCATATCTGTAGATTATAACCACTAGATTTATGGCTTCATTCACACCTAAATTCTATTCAAACTTCTACAAGATTTATTAAATTTTCTTTCTTTTCTCATTTTTCTTGATTGGGCGGCATAATCAGATCATCTATATATTACCCCAAAAAAAAAAAAAAAAAAAAAAAAAATCTTTCTTCCCCAAAATTTGAAAATTAAACAAAACTTCTCCACATAATAGAAGTCTCAAAATTATCAAGGTCTAATAATTATAAATTAAAAGACCGATAAAAATTGTTTATGATTTTAAAAAGAAAAATGATATTTATTATTAGATATATTGCACCATTTTATTACTATCTATTCTGAATCACACAATAATACTTGCATGAAAAGGAAAATGAAAAAAAGTGAAATCATTACCACATATTTTTTATCGAATATTTTATATTAAAATTTTAAAATTAGAAAATTTCCTTCAAGCAATCATCCACATAATCAGTCCAATTAACTGCTATGCTTCCATGTAATTAACCAAAAATATGAGGAATTAGATTCCACAATAAGGACAAAATAGACATTTCACATATGATTAAGGATGATTTAAAATAATTAATATATACAGGTAGACAAACAGGCATTAAAAGTGCTAAATGACCCTGTTTACAAGGTCGTTGATGACTGGCCCCGCGCGGATTCCAAATGTCCTATCCATTGTAGTTTATTCTTCAATTTTTTTTATTAATATGTAAAATGGCCACGTCACCCTCACAACACAACGTACAAGGAGAAAGAACCCTAGTCCACACGACTCGTACATCAAGTTACATGCTGACACGTTTACGGCAGATGTGGATTTGGAATAAATAAAAAGGTTTAGCAATTACACCCCTGTATTACTCTAAAAATACAAGAGGTCTAAAATCACAAACACTTATTTTGAAATCACACTGATCTCTCTTGTCAGTTTACACCATCGGATATAATGATAAATTTCTAATACCCCATTTTCTTACACATTTATAGCTTCTCTTTCTTCTTTATTATTGTTTTCATTATCATTTTCTTTCTTTAATACAAGAGTAGCATTTTCAAATCACAATTTTTTTCCATTTCGAAGTATTACTCATGTCTCTTGGTATATTCCCTCTTCAATTGAATAGTTTTGTATTGATATAGCAAATCATTACATATGTCCATGGCAACAATCCTAATTTTTTTCTTGTGAATTATGTGTAATTATGGTAATTGGCAATTATGTTGGGTTTCAAAGTGAAAGTATAGGTTCAGGGAGTGTTTTAGAAAGTTGGTAAAAAGTTAATTTTTAATTTTTTATCAAGCTTTTTAGCTTTTTTGAAAAGTTATTTGGAAAGTTGATAAAAAGCTGACTTTTGACTTTTTGATTTAATATTTGTTTATGGTATCAAATCAAATTAAAATGACTAAAATATCCTTACCCAACATAGAAAATTTACTTTTTTACCCTACGCCCCAATTTGTTAACATGGAGGGTGATTACATAATTTCAACACTTGCGTGTTTATCTCTCCCCAAATGATTTTTGTTGCGTTTTGGCTGCCTCGCTTTCTTTCCCTTGCATCAAAAACGCTGTTTTTTACAAATCTTTCCAAAACGGTACTCATTTGAGAATTGATTATTTTAATTAGTTTTTTATAAAATAATGTACAGAAAGTAAAGGGAGTGATGTGATAATTTGTAGTGACTTTTTAATTTTTTTAGCTAAAAATTCACATTCTTAAACAAGGCCTACATGATTGTTAATACAAGTTTTGAGTGATTTGCATTTTATTTAGATGTTTATTTTGACAAGAAAATGTAATAGTTGTGATAAGGATTGTTTGCGTAGAGATGAGAGAAAAGAAATATGTTAGCAGTAGAGGTTATGGATGGAGAGAGATAGTGATAGATGGTAATCTTAGAGTTGTGTTACGATACTCTTTAATGACAGTAATAAATAGTGGATAAGGCACCAGATCAATTGTGATACTGAAAAGAGATGTAATGACTTAAGTATATAGAAATAAATAAGGTATTATCATTTGATGTTATAAAAGTGGATGATAAATAGTTAAGATAAAATCGATAGTTGGAGGTGTTATTGAATGCATGAGAAAATTAAATATGGAGCATGCTTTTAACAAGGGCAAAAGTAAAATTTCAGTAATCAATCAACATGGACCTAATGAAGGGGTGTCAATGTTACTTCAATAAAATTTGGAGGGTGTCAGTATAATTTAATCTAAATAAAAAAATAAAAATTGCAGAAACGCTGAGTATCGATGGACGACCAACTCAACAACCACGATAGGCCCAAGTCGTATGTACAACACACAACCCAGGGTGTACACTTGTACGCATACTCTCGTCTCTATACGAACACGTGTATCGTGACGTGGATCTTGCCTTTCTCTCTCCTCCTCCTTCACCCCCCGCCATCTCTCTCTATCTTCTGCAAAAGCTAAAAACTCTTCCCTTGCTCTGCGTTTTCTAGAGAGAGAAAGTAGAGACAGATAATGCAGTAGTAGAGAAGCTAGGGTTTGGGCCTCAGTAAATCAACCAATTTCTATTTTTCCTTTCCACCATTGGAGATAGTCGGAGCTCTTCGGTTTTTACTTTTTTTTTTTTTTTTTTGGGGTTTGTGTTTTTTTAAAATTTTTTTTTCCCAAAACATGTTTTTGGAAACCTATTAGGCAGAGAATTCATTTGGGGATGTGACCAACAAGGTAGTGGTATGTTATTGGCCCTTCCTTTTGTATTGACAGGATCAGGCCAACAACATTCATGTCTATCCTGATTGGGCAGCCATGCAGGTTTTTCACTCTATGTATACTGTTATTTATCTATATCTGTAAAATTAATTGCTTAAACATATGTATCGAAAACAAAAATTGAAGTAATCATTTTCTCAAGTCTATATTGAAGTAGTGATCCAAGATAGTTTGTTGCACCTTTAGGCATATTATGGCGCCAGAGTTGCTGTACCACCATATTTTAACTCAGCCGTTGCATCTGGTCATGCTCCTCACCCTTATATGTGGGGACCACCACAGGTATGATATGATGCAAAGTTTCATTTTGTAATTTTCAGCTACCTTCGAGTCATCTAAGGATGCTGAGGCAATTTGTAACTTAAATTAAACTATCTGGGGAGGGGAGATCGTGGAAAATTCAAACTGTTTCGGCTTAGAGAATCGTTTTCGAGTACATTGAAGCGGTCGATTGTAAGTTTAGAAATCACAAAAAGTAGAATTGTATAATTGAGAAATTTTCACTTTGCATCTGTTTGAACGAAAAGTGAACCTTTGAGGATAGTTTGGTCATTTACCTCCTAGGTTATCTTGGATTGATATGATACTCATAATGATCAGTTATGTAACTTATGTTCTTGATATTGGGTGGGGATGGGGAAAGACAACAATGTCCCCCTCCTTTCATATCTTTCCACTCTCTCTCTCTCTCTCTTTTGAATAATTAATATTTGAATTGGAGCTGGAAATAGTATAAATGACTTGTTCTGTGTCTATATTTGAATCTTGTTATATAACTTGTAAAGATCTGTGTAACGTAGAAGATCTGCCACATATTAAAGCAAATCAAATCATTGATACTTGGTCTATTCAGAGTAAGTTGTGTTACCTGTTGATATCTTTCTTGAGCATGATTTCCGATTGATAAACGGTTGTATCTGCGGCTCTGTAACTTTTAATTTTCGGTTAAACACTGTGCATCTGAAAGTATTATCTAGATTCATTTTTTTGGTAATTACCCATTTTTAGATTTGATTGGGAAAACACTTAATATACTTTGGGGTCTCCTTATTTCTTTAATAAATTGGTTTTGTTCTATCCCCAGGGTAAAAAATGACTGTCGCAGGACAGAAAAGTAGTTTTAGGAGTAGGATTTCTTTTGTTGTGGTTGTTATTAGTAGTATAGAGTATTCAAGTATTAAGATGATTTCACTTTTTATTAAGGATTTATTAAGCTTCAATGGAGACAATCAAAATTTTGGCGAATGATAGTTCAGGTAAAGTAGCATATTTTTATTCTGGTTTTTGGCCAGGAGACCACTCTATACTTGACTCCGAACTTATTTAGAAATTATTTCCACAGTTTCTGCCACTAAATTCAAGTTGGTTTCAAATGCTGGCTTTTCTTTTGTCTCTCTCTCCATGCATAGAAACAAAGCTTGTTGGGCCGGCCTGATTACCAATATTATACTTTTTAGTGGATCTTTGCAGCTGCACTCCTGTCGTTTGATTTGGTTTAGCCATGTTTGCAAAGATAGTAATAAGAGAAACTCACTGAACGTTTGGGTTCCTAGCCACTAAATGGACTTAAATTCATGAAATTGTATTAAGGATGAGTTAATCCCTGTATTCTTATCTCTATCTGACATTTTCAGCTTGAATTATTTTTATTTATTTATTTATTTATGAGAGTACTGTTATATCTTGAAACATTTATCTAAATGACAATTGACATGGATATGCTTACGCAGCCGACTGACTGTTCTGTCAAAAAACGGAAGTGGTGGCTGTCAAAAGGATTTTCTTGTGTCATCTCTGAATCATTCAAGAATACCAGTTTGGTGCTTGGACCATGGGAAATAGTGAAGAGACAAAGCCTTCTAAGCCTGTGAAACCATCTTCACCTCCATTGGTAAGCTAATAACTATTTGGGACCTCCTGACTCTGTTGGGTGAGAACATTTGTCATTTAATTTGAGAAAAAAATTGTGAAGAAACGTCATATGTATTTTGAGTATACGGTATTGTCATTTTCTGTTACGTCCACTTGATGTTATTGGCCCTTCCTTTTGTATTGACAGGATCAGGCCAACAACATTCATGTCTATCCTGATTGGGCAGCCATGCAGGTTTTTCACTCTATGTATACTGTTATTTATCTATATCTGTAAAATTAATTGCTTAAACATATGTATCGAAAACAAAAATTGAAGTAATCATTTTCTCAAGTCTATATTGAAGTAGTGATCCAAGATAGTTTGTTGCACCTTTAGGCATATTATGGCGCCAGAGTTGCTGTACCACCATATTTTAACTCAGCCGTTGCATCTGGTCATGCTCCTCACCCTTATATGTGGGGACCACCACAGGTATGATATGATGCAAAGTTTCATTTTGTAATTTTCAGCTACCTTCGAGTCATCTAAGGATGCTGAGGCAATTTGTAACTTAAATTAAACTATCTGTTTTACCAGCATATGATGCCACCTTACGGGCCGCCTTATGCAGCAATCTATGCGCATGGAGGTGTTTATGCACATCCTGGAGTTACTCTTGTAAGTCTGCTTTCTATTAGTTTTGGTTTTCTTTATGACTCAGAATCATAATTGGTTAATCTTAGAATGTTTCGTAGTTGAGTTCTTGGGGTACTCCATTCCCTCCACACTGCTTCTGAGAAGTAGGTGGGTGTCGTACTGAAAGTTGGAAGCATCAGCCTAGTAAATTGTACAATGACAATAACCATGTGCCTGGAAATGTGACTTTCAATCAACTATTATGCCCCCCTTTTAGCCCTTGTTTTAAACAACCACCATCTCCCAAAATGATGTAATTAGCTTATGAATTAAATGCAACTGTAACTAGAATATCAGATTGAGCTCTAATGGGTATGTGTTTGGTTTCCAATTCCATAATTCTATGGGTCATAATGACATGGTTTAGGGGTTACATCTTCTTTTAGCAAATCTTTGGTACTTATATTTTCAGTGATCTTTTATTCTTGTCGTTATATTTGGTCGTGAAATTAAGAACTATAGAGAGAGAAGAGGGATTATTGTCTTTACTAACTGCATAAGCACACATGGATGGATTTTGGATCTTATTTTGAGTGGCAATGCAGGCTGCCATTCCAAACATGGAAACACCTACCAAGTCATCAGGAAATACAGATCAAGGCTTAGTGAAGAAATTGAAAGAGTTTGATGGGCTAGCAATGTCAATAGGCAATGGTAATGCAGACAGTGCTGAGGGAGGAGCTGACTCTCAGAGGTTGGTTGCAGTAACACAATTTTATAATATGCCTTATTTACACCTCTCATCAAAAGGTTAACTTTTAAATTTTATGATCATGTCAACAGTGAGGAGACAGAAGGTTCTAGTGATAGAAGTAATGGAAATACGGGAGGGGTAAGAGTCACCCTCTCTGCTTAAGCACTATTTGCACCAGCTAGTGCTTTTACACCGTTTTAGTTGATTTCCATGTGCATTATAGTGAAGAGTGTCATAAGTCTTAGTGGTCTCCCATCTTTTGTCAGGCGGGTCAAAATGGTAGGAAAAGAAGCCGCGAGGAAATACCATCTATTGGTAAGATTCATTTTTCACTATCTTAATAACAATAACATTTACCTTGATTGCTATTTCCCAGTTAGGATTGGTTCTTTTCCTAGTACAGTATCGATACATAACAAAATGATATGTCTTTTTGGTTCCAGTGCTTCTGAGAAATGGGATAATAATTGATCAATTATGTATAGCATACCATGCTTTTCATGCTGTACGCTTTATCTTTGACGCTGTGCAAGGATGGTAAAGATATCTTCTTACCAAATAGTTGAAAATCTAATACTAGATATATGGATAAAATTACCTATTACGCAGAACATTGCTTTATTGTACCTGAAGCCTTTTAGTCAATTCTTTTACCCTTTGTGAAGACACGAACTTGAGAACAACAATGGGAACAACAAAAAGGAGAAAAGGAACCGTTTCTGTTTTGGGAACTATTTAAGGGACTTTATTTCTTGATTAATTTATTTGTTTGTTTGCTCGATTGTCAACAGGTGAAGATGGGAAGACAAAAACTCAGAGCAGTCCAGTTCCAGTGGGTGAAATAAATGGTGCTCTTGATAAAGTTATGGGTGTCATTGTCCCTTCTCCAAGTGTTGCAGGAAATATGGTGGGAACTATCACAGCATTGGAGCTCGGGAATTCTCCAAATGCAAATGCTAGTCCAAATGGTGCCTTGTTGCAGGTACAGTGACATTCTGCATATGTTCCTCCTTTATTCCTTTAGTTCTACTTGTTTCCTTCTGCATCACATATATATGCTTTGGGCTTATCGAGTATTTGAATATGTTTGGTTGAGATTAATCATTTTTGCCAAAAACCAATACAGGAAGATACAAAAAGATCTAAAACGGGCCAGAGGGCTTCGTGCTGTTCCAGTAATCTGTGCTTTAAATTGGAATTGCATCATGCTGGCCCAAAGTTTATTATCTTGAATCTAACTTGCATTTTTTGTGTTTTCAATTTAATACTCAGAATGACCGGGAGCTGAAACGGGAAAGAAGGAAACAATCTAATCGAGAATCTGCCAGAAGGTCCAGATTGAGGAAGCAGGTATAATAAATATGGGAACGTGCAACTTGAATTTGTTTTCCATTGATAAATTTTAGATCCAATTCAATGGATAGATTATCCAATGATCATCAAAACAATGCTCTCATGGATAGTAAAAGGCTTTCGATGGAGCAAATATTTTACTTTTTGGATCTCCAGTACTGTTGGTTGGCGAGAACGAGAACATTTTTCCCAACCATACCAGATTTGGTATCTTAAAGAAACTGAAGATTTTGAATTTGAAAATGATTATTTAGATGAAGATTACCGAAGAGAGCAATTAGAAAATATGCAAAAACTTTCCTTAACAGAATATTGGATAGACAGTCTAATATCTGTTTCACAAGCAGCGTCCAACATCCATGGCTCAGCAAAATTGCCATTCATGGTTACAGATGGAAGAATATTATTTGTAACCCATTTTCCCATAACATATTAAAGGTCTCCAACGCAAATTAATGAGGCTCTTGACATGTTAATAAATCTCAAAAAGAGAAATAATTTGGATCTTTCGTTGGAACTAGCCATGACCGCGAATGATGTAGAACATTTCCGGAATGAGCAATACGGTCAAGATCCGGATTCCCCTCCATCAGAGACTGATGAAGAATATCACAATCTCATCAACAGAATGGAAGCATAGTGGACCCCACTATCAAATGCAGCTGTCTCCTGATCGACTCCAACCTTATCCAGGACAAGTGGAGCAACCTGCATTATTTGGCGGAAAGTGATCAACCATATCCTTTCAGCCGATTCAGACGACGCTACACGACAAAGCCGCTCAGCCAACGCTTATCTACAACAGTCTCTCTCTTTGAAAACTGGGGAGGGTAGACAGTGTGTATCAGTGTATATAATTGTAAAAACTGTAGCAAAGAGCAAATAATTGTAGTCCTTTTGTATTTATTTTTGTCTCTTTGTATTTACTTTTAAGTAGATTTTTTCAAAAAGCCTATAGGCTTGCCTAAAGAGTTAGAAAAATTGACAACTTTTAAGACGTAAAGTCTTACAAAGTTAGATATGTTAGATATAAGTTAGATATGTAATAAGTTATATTTTGTTTGTATTTCCCTCTTGTAAGTCTATATATTGGCCTTTATGCCAACATAATGGAGCATGTAAATATTCCCTTCAACTTCTCTCCATCTTTCTTCTTTGTCTCTAAGTTCTCTATCATAATATATTATATAAATAAAATTTCTCTCAAGGTAAGTGAGAAGTGTGTGGGGTACAAATAATAGCAAAATGTTTAGCTGAAAATGCTAATGACTCATATAAGGATGTCATTAGCTTTGGTAAACTTGCAAAAAGATCACTCATACGTGTGAAAATGATAAAAAAGAATGTCAAAGTGTTTTGAGATGTGTGAAAAATGTTTTGAATTTTTTTTTTCTCCTTATTGACATTAAGCCCAAGTGTGCAAGATTGTTTTTTGGATAAATTATACTTAGTATTCCTGTATTTTTAAAACTTCAAGTTTGAATTTTACTTTTTAATTCATCTGCCGTTAATGAAGTTAAGAGAAATTGAAAATGGAAGGATTAAAAGTGAAATTTTAATAAAAATGTAAGGAATAAAATGAAATTTTTGTGTTAAGTGTAAAGGTGTTAATGGAACATTAAAAATATCATATATGTTTCAAATGATGAATTTCGTCAATTTTATTAATGATAGATGGATGTAAGGGTAAAATTGTAACTTGAGTTAAAATGTAGAAAATTAACTGTTATAATTAAAAATAAAAATATTAAAATAAAATTTTGATAAAAGTACAGAGATATGGTTCCGTTTGGCAAGAGCTAAACGGGAATTTTTTGGCTATTTTAGTCACAAAAGACAAAATAGGTTATTTTAGCCACAAAAAACAAAATATCACATCCAACCCATAATCATTACATTCTTCTCTCACAAAAAAAGTCAAAAAAGTCAAAAAGACAAAAAGTCCTTCCCAAACCAAACTTTTTAGCCCATGCTAAAATAGCCAAAAAAGCCAAAAAGCCGAAAAGTCAACCCACTTCCCAAACGGAGGCTAAGTGTAATTTATCTTCTTTTTTTTTTATACTGAGCTGGTGAGTATTCGATACTTTTTCATTGTATCAAACCATATGCGTAAGACAGTTTTCACCCGTACTATTTTGCTAACTTACATCATTACAACAGCACCAATAACAACAATGATTCATCCCATTAAAAACATCACCACTAATAGCACTAATGCATTAAAAAAGTAAAAAAAAAAAAATACAACTCCAAGACCAAAACATCACATCATTAATGGCGAGACCCACTGCCACATAATTAGTGGGAGCACTAATTAGTGCTCCCAAGCATTTTTCCACCAATAATGTCGTTTGTTGCTGCTCATGTGGGTGCTCTATAACTTTTATTTTATTTATAGTTTATGATACAAAAGTAACATAAATAAATTGCAAAAAAAAAACAAAAAAAAAATTATTAAAGAAGTGAAGAGGAAATACTTTTTGACTTGGAGAAATAACAAAACAGTATTATTCTCCTAAAATAATTACAAAAGCATTGTAAACTTTATACATTTTAATGATTGAAGTCATAAACTTTTCTATGAATCTGTCATTATTTTAAGAGAATATCACTGATTTGTAAATTTTCCTTTTAACTTTTGCATCTAAATGATTAACTTTTAGCTTGCAAAGTTACACCAAACATAACAGTTAGGCTCGTGGGTCGATTTGGATCAATTTTAATCATCAATCAAATTGTCTTGGGTGGATTGCGAATTTTTTATCCTGTTGAATTTTAAAATTGGAGAGTTAGCAAATATTTTGATTATTTTAAACTAGTGGTTTGAACATGTTGGATAAGTTAAAAAAACATGATAGAGGAAAAGATCATTGAACTTACAATCATAATTTTTTTGCAATTTCAACAAAAAAATATTATTTGTTTAAATACCAACACAACTTTCAAAAATATTTTTCATAAATCAATATATCAAACAATCAATTTTTTTTTTTAAATTTACAAAATGCGATAAAAATAAGGAACGAGTAATCATGTGATTAATGGAATTAGGGTTGAGGAATGTGTATGCAGGTGCAAGATAAAATTTGTGTACACATGTAAATGTAGGGACGGAATCAGGATTTCATTAGTGAAGGGGCCAAAAGACAAATAAAATTTTTCACTATATACATAAGTACACATTTATGTACAATATGATATATAAATTATATCTATACACATAAAAAAATTCAAATACCATAGAAGTGATTTTTAATACGATGAAAAAGATTTTTTGGTACAAAATAATAAAAAAAAAATACAAGATGGGATAAGAATGAGATATGTATTTTATGTATAAAATGAGATACATATTTTTAAAATGCTGTGGCAAATTATGTTTTTCACAGAAACAGAGAACTATGGCCCCACATAATCTTCTTTTAGTTTCATCTCTGTGTAGATGGAATGAGTAGATTTTTAAGCTGATGGCAATTTTAAACTGCATGCCAATTAAATTGTTATTCTTTTTTATTAATAACTCGCTCAGTTTAACTTACTCACTTTCTCAAACCGCATGAATTGATTTGGATCATCGTGAATTAGCGGAACAATGATTTTCTTACACACTCGAGTGGCAATCATGGACCAAAAGGATCCCCATAATACAAGGCATAACAATATGCATCTGACATTTTTTAGCTTGTACCAAAACAAATCTTCTTAGAATAAAAAAATAAATTAGGCAATAGATATAATTATCTTATATCACTTTGCGACCCACAACTTAAGTTGCCTAATTTTGTCCTCTCCCTCTACGATTCTCATTTCTCAATAAAATCAACCAAACTTAAGCCAATTGATGGGGCTATTTGTTACCGTTTCGAAGAAGTGAGTACAACTTATTTTAATTTAGAAATATATGTCAGATTGTTTGATACAGTTTTTATAAATAATTTATTAGATAAAAATAACTTAAATAAGCTGATTATTTAAAAGTTGAAAAATAAATAATTTTAATTTTTACTTTCTGATTATCAAATTTTAACTTTAAAAAAAAAAAAAAAAAACTCTACCAAAAAAGGCCGATGTCTCCCTTACCATGTGATATATCGGTGGTGTTTGTTTGGGCTTTTTTGAGCCAACTTATGGCTTCTGGCTTTTGAAAAGCTATTTTGGACTATTTGGTTAAACTTATTTCAAACCGCTTCTGATTCTAATAACTTATTTTAAGTCAAAAAAACTGATTTTGAGAAGCTGCTCACCCCTTATTTCTGATTATCAGTTTCTGCTGTGGACATGTTAATTTACGGTTATACTCTTAAATTTTTTTATTTTTTTTTAAAATAGAAAAAAACCCAAATGGACTATATAATATTATTATTATTATTTATGAGAAATGTAGACAAGTAGTGAATAATAAAAAATAAAAATTAATTGAAAAAGCTACTTCACAGCTTATTTAACAAACACTACTTAGCAACTTAAATCTATAATCCAACAGCTACACCAAACAGATTAACAACTTCTGATTAAAATCATAATGTATAATCTGTTAAACTATAATTTATAATCTGTTTTAACAGTTACACCAAACGGAGCCATCATATACCTAACTCTCCTGGTACTATAATTCACGAAGCTCCTACAAATAAGATTATTTGTGTTTTCAATTCCAACCTTAATGTCTTTTAATGAATAGCCCCAATTATTATTTCTACATGCCCAACCTAGATTTCTTTTTCTCTTTGTTGTTGGTACAAACAAGTCCAGCCTATTCCCCAATTATTCATTTTACAATATCTAGCCAAGATTTCATTTTACTGTTTGTTTATGTTACATACATGTGTAGGCTAGATTTCAATACATTGGCATCACCAGTGGCTCAAAGTTTTTGAAAGGTTCAGACTAATTAAGTATTTGAAAAGTTAAAATTTTCCACAATAAAGTTTTTTTTTTTAATTTTTTTTTATGGGCTTTGAATGACAGTTTAATCACTTTTGATTGGCCCTATGATAGCTTGACGCATATGTATATCCCTTTGATTAATAATATTATGATAGTTACATTTTTGTAATATATTTTGATATAT